TTGAAGTATTTCATATTAAACAGAACTGCAATTTATATTCAATTTTAAATTGCATGTAAATATTTGCTACAGCTCATGGGCTTGTGTGCTCTCCAAGAAGCTGGAACTGTATAGTTCAGTTAAGTCTTTTGGTTTCTGTGGCTCATCAGTAGAAATTCTGCCACAGGTTAAAATAATAAAAAAAAAAATTATCAAACCAATTTTACTTTTCAAAAAAGTGAAATATATAAAGCAACTTTCATCTTGTTACTAAATTTAATATACTTAATTTTTTGCCATGTAGTTCTAAAGTAGGATAGCTGCATCAAAGTTGGCTTCCAGGTGCTCTGAAAACATTAGGAATTGCAGTAGGAATTGCAGTAGTAGTACTAATTGGCTGTTCATATTAAATGGTCTGAATGAAGCTGTCTACTAGGTTAACGCTTAAAAGCAGTCATTTCTTGTCTTTCAGTTAGTCAATTTTTTTAAATCCGCAACTCAAATCATCTTAGGAAGCCTATTTTCTAATAAGATACTCATTCTAATTGCATTTAATATACCGTAAATTATTGGAAGTGAATATGAATGCCAGGAAAGTGCCACGTTCTTTATTTTGGATAAAATGCCTTTTTAAAGAAAAATATTACCCTGTAGATTTTCATGTACCTCAATATTATATCTCATTTCAAGACACCCAGACAACTAAAGCTTGTAGAAGGCATACAGCTAACTGCTCTGTAAGGTCTGATTCACTTTAACATACATTCATTTTGCCAAATAGCTTGTCCTTTCTTTAGCAGTGCAAAAAATAAGAGACTTCATATTTTTCATTAATGAAATTTTAAGCCACAACAAATTCATGGTATATTAAAAGCTGCGCTGTTCACTTTATGGCAAATCTTCTCTCGCTTTGTACAAATGGAAAAAAAAAAAGTCAGTATGTCAGGTTTACCATATAGAGGCTCTTTTGGACTTCAGCGATAAAGCTAAGTCAGGAAGAGGTGGAGCAGGAGACCAGTCATACTCATCTGATATTCGGACACTGAGATAAGTTAACAAAACAACCAAGTATGATGGAGTTAACCCATGCAGAGCCCTCAGCACAGCTGTTACTGAGCAGCTGCAAAGAGGGCACAGCAATTGGCAACATAAACTCCTGCAGAGGCCATATTACAAAGAAATAAACAGCATATAAAAAGAAGAGGATTTATCTGGAATGGCAGATGTGCCTGGCAGATAGCATCTGTCTCTGAATTCAGGACTCCTCCCACAAATCTTTAGAGACCTTAATTTTGGACTATCTTCTCTCCACAAAACTTAGTCCCCGTTTTGCAGTAATTTCAATAGGTTCCTAGTGGGTTTTACCTAGTAAAATAAAAAATATGTGTGTGCCTCTTCTTAGTCCCGTACTACTTTGTTGTTAAGGCTTTCCAGATTGCTACCACGTTGCCATTCATTAACAGATATAACAGCTCATCTCTTAAAAACACTCTTTAGCCATTTCTATTATGTTTTCCTGAGTAATTGAAGTTTTTCTCTGTCTTTGGGGTTTTTGGGGTTTTTTTTGGAGTATCTTATCTGTCCTTGAAAGCTTTAAAACTTCTTAGAAAATGAGAGTAAAAAGAACGAAAAGAAAGCAAATACACATTGTTATCCACTCCTGATTAAGACAATACATGTTGCTTTGATTAATATTCTACAAACTTTGAAGACAGAAGAGAGTTAGTTATTCAGTTCTAACCTAATATAAATACAATGCTCACATTGAAAAAACAGTTGCCATAATCTAAATTTAAGTTTTCCTCTCTTCCAAACCATAGGAGCATCTGAACTCACTCGTTAATGCTTACTGATTGTGACAGCAATTTGCAGAGAACAGTTCTAGCATGGCCTTACACGAACTTGGATTCCCAAAGAGCTGAACAATCTAAATAGAAACAAAACGTGCACAACAGCATTGACAAATTGTTAATAATTTATATTAATAATAATAAATAATGTTAACACAGGGGCAAAAAACTGCATATGTTAGGTGACTAACAGGGCAAGTCGGTACGCAATTTATCATGGCAGAAGTGGGATTTGAATAACAAGGTAGCTGCAAAGCAGGGTGATTTACCACAAAGATGGTGTTTATAGAATAAAAGACTGAAGACGTGAAAGGGTTTCTAACACCTGTGGAAATACGAGAAGGATCAGGTAGCAAGTGACAGAGCGGGACCCATGGGACGGAGCTACGTTCTGAAGTGTTCTGAGGACAAAGGATATTCAGGAGTTCTGGAAAAGCAGTTTAAGTGAGCAACCTCAGAGGATGACCATAGCAGAAGACTGATTTCAGATGCATGAGGATCTCTGTCCTCATTCAATGTGTCCCAGAAATTTCCCCTTGGTTTTTGAGAATTCAGTTTTTATTGCTGGCTGGCCATGCCTAAGACTGTGTCCAAGGCAGACTGAGATGTCTCACAGGAGAGCAACAGGGAAGACAAAAGCTGCGGAAACCCTGTGATGAGTCTGATACGATACTATACACATGTCATATGACCAAATGATGGAGAGGTGCAGCGTTAACTGTAATGGACCCATCAGGGAGAGATAAAGAGGAAAACAATGGCCAAGCAGATGTGAAAACCAAGATTTCTGAAAAACAGGAGGGAAATGTATAGAAGCATTTAGACCTGATGAGAAGTAACTCCTAAGGAAGAACAGTGGACTGAGAAGGGAGGTAATAAGCTATAAAGCTGGAAATGTGCTCACAGCACTCATAAATTGTGCATAATTAAGTGGGAGTAGGCAAAAGCTGGACAGACAGAGTCAAAGGTGAGAGCTTCCCCCTCCCCCTTCTGCTTCTATTAAAGCAGATTTGTACTGCAAAGAAAATGCATTTTAGAAGAAAAATATGAGCCTAATGATGAAGGTGAAATGCATGGGACAAAGGAGGCTGGAAGGTCTGCTATTCCTGTGAATTAGCTTGCCACGGTTGGCAAGCCCTTTGCTCCATGTTCCCTCTCGCTCTCTCTCACAGGACCAGGGGCAAAAAGTGCTAAAACTGTAGAATGAATAAAACCATCCCTCTTCCTATTGACTTACTCTTGCTTTGTTATTTGTATTTTTTAAATATACAAGATGGGTTTAGATTCAATGCTACTTTATACATTAATTATTCCAGTAATCTAGTCATGGCTTCTTTCATATCATACTGCACTGAATTAACTACATTATAAAATGGAACCAATATCAACTACAAAAATCCCACCCGTCGAACTGGTCAATGATTGCACCACAAAGACGTAAATGATAGGGTTGGAAGAGGCCTGTTTTTCAGCCCAGCACCCAGCATCAAGCAGGATTTTCTTCTACACTAATGTTAGAAACATTTTATCTGAGCTGTATCACTATATTATAAACAATGGCAGCTCAGCAACTGCATAAAGAAAGCATAGCCAGAAACCTACCCACCCGCACTACTGCATTTTTTCCCCTTCACATCTAACCTGGGCAATCTAGTTTTATTTTCTGTATATGCAGCCAACAACTCTTCTGTTAATCCCTACGGCATATATATAAACCAGTAAGCCTAAAAAAATGCCATGTTATCCAGACTCAGAAAGAACAGCAGCGTGACACTGCTTTCTCTCCCACGTGAGAGTTCAAAGGGTGTTCCTCTTGAGGTACAATTAATTGTGGGAATGCTGCTATCCAGAAAGCACCTATCATCCATTCATTTTTTAAAGATTAATCAATAAATAATAACATTTAGCACATAACTGTCTAAATGCACCTTACAAACACTGATGGGTATTTGACAGTTTCCTAAGTTGTGGTTAATATATGCAACATTTCTGGCAAAGCTTTTCAGTTTTCTCAGTCATGATCTGAAGCAAATTATGCAGTCCAAAGCCCTACAGAGCTCTCAGCCTTTACTGTGCAGTATGCTTTGTTTTCAGTCTTTGTACAAATTAACAGATACTGTGGGACCTTTACAAGACCTGAGGAAGGTATGAATCTTAAGCCTCTTCAGAGACTTAGTTTACATGAGACTACTTTATTAGCTACATATGGCTTATAATGATACTACAGCTTGTGAAAACACACATTCAAAGGTTAGCTAATCTAGATAAGAGCTATTTCACCTACAGACGATAACTCAATAAAGCAAGTGGACAAATCATTTATTTTCTAAACAAAAAATATCTGCACAGCAAGAGATACTGCTATGGCTGGATAATTCTTTTTAAAGTCAGTTTAGAATGACCATGCTTGAAACTGTTAACCATCCTGCTCTACAATTTGGTGCTGCATTATAAATCTCTGAAAAAAAATCTGACTGCAGCTATTGATTCTATAGCAGAACTAAGCAGCATTTCATTTTTTCTCATTCATTAATTTAAAAGTTTCTATGCATCTTTTTCTAAAATCATTTTTGCCACCAAGTGCTCTTAATTTTTGCGTACTGTTTTAGGAATTTTTCCTTACGTACCTCCCATAAATTCTTATCTAAATAAAATAACCTTTAATTTTTAGGACATGTAAAAAAAAAAAAGTGGCTTTCAGTTAAGTATCAAAGCTCTAAAAGTATTTGCTAACTATAACTAGTACCTTTCCTACTTTGCTGTCTCCCCACTAAACTTACCATGATTAAATGCCTTCCCGAAGTTCTGAGGCAGCAAGGACTTGATGCCACAGTTTGTAACATAGTTGCCCATACAGCATGTTCAAATCTATCCCTGTACTAATTATCAATTAGAAATGTAGGAGTTTTCTGTCATTTGGGAGTTGCAGAGGTTTTATGATATTCATAATGAAACGCTAGGTACAAACCAAGAAGCAGTGACGTTGCCTATATAAACAAACTGCACTAGAGAAGAGTAACTCAATACAAATTGAGTAAATATTTTTAGCATTTCTCTGGTATTTATCCAATAAACACCTCCTTAATTTAATTTTTAAATTAAGTGATTTTTTAATTGATGTTTATTTATTACGGAATAAAAATTCAGAATCTCTAAATATAAGACAAATGACAAAAAGTAAGGCAGTTCTTGGTTTTGTTTGATGACTCCAATGAAAACATGCTTTGAAGTCGTTACTTCAGTTCACTAGCCTGAGCAGTTTCCTTATAAACAACAGAACCTCCACAGTACAAAATTCAGTATGAAATAAATTATCAACCTACAGTTCAAAAACTCTTTCAAGTGACAGCACAGAAATGAGCCATTTCAAGGACAGAGAATACACACTCTCACTTCCATTGACTGATGATCTAGCTTGAAAACAATCACCTCTACAATTTATTTTTTCAAAAAAGGAAGCAAAGACACCATTATACTATGAGGCTCATGCCACATCTTAATGTCTTTTTACAACAGCAGACCACCGCCAAATTCCACGTAAACTGGAACTTTTCTTCCTAGCTTGTATTACTAGCAAGCTCACCTTTGTTAAGTAGCACTAACGCTTGCGCACCTCTTAGTACAATACTCTTAAACACAGATTGTTTAGGATGCATACCTTATAAAAATAAAGCCTCAAAGCTACATTTTCTTAACACAGGTTAAAAATAAAGCACATGTTCCTGAGCCATAGCTGCGCAAGTCCACTTGCAGAGAATGAAGCACATTCTCAAACGCAAGTGACAATACCGTAACAAAGCTGTTTGCTCCAGGGACCCCATATAGTTTAAGTAGTAAATCTGAAACCCAACGACTAAGCTGAGTTTAATCCAACAGCTCACTCCCCTCTGAGCACAGCCTCTCACTTCTTGAAACCGGCTGTACGCAGGGCGAGGGAGGGGCCGCTGCCGCCTGCCTGGCCAAGCAGAAACTCGTGAGTAAGTTACTAGGGGAAAAACAAGTGCAGCGCGCACACACGACACAGCACGCCGCACACATGCTGGGGACAGGCGATCACAATGTTTTCCAAGCCAAACAAGACAAGGCTTTTCAGCCTCCTTCCTTCTTCAGAAATGCCACTTATCAAACACGTGGGGATGGCGCGGCGCAAAGGAATGTGAAACGTGAAGTGAAGGTAAGAGGCTTGAAAAGAGGCTGCTGAGGTGGGGGCCGTGAGACAGGAACTGCAGCGTGAGCGGCACTCGGGAGGAAGCTCTTTTACTTCTAATTCTACCTTTTAAAATCTGATTTCAAATTTAAATGTGTAAAAACACAAAACCAGAAAGAAGCATTAGGGAAGGCTGAGTCAGAATGCAGTAAACAAGAGGACTACAGGACTGACTGCTGCAACCCAGGGAACCTGAGCTAGAAAACCACTTCCGATTAGAGAGGCGCTTGCTTTCGATTTATCAAGTAAAACTGATTCATTTACAGTGCCCTAAGGACTCACCTAAACACAGTCTGTAAAGGCAAAAGTGCCTGTAAAATGGCAAAAGATATTTCTGGGTAAGAAATGCTGAACTGGGCCTATACAGTATAGCAAACAGGTACAGCGGTTTCTGAGGTAAGTGACATGTAAAAATGGGTGGTTATTACATTGATGGCAAAAATATCTCGTCTGGTAGTTCAGAAATCATTAATGACATTTCTTCAGAGAATATGTTTATTGTGGACTTTATTTCTGCTCATTTCTGAGGTAAGTTCTGTCATTTCGTAAATAACAAAATAAATTTCCTACTATTTCTACTGTTAAAATAGGAGTCTTATTTAGCTGCATTTACAGAAAATAAAGCAAATGGGCTAATTTTTAAAAACAATTGCGCCTCTCTTAAAATATAAAGCAGGGTATTGATCTCATTCAGAGACAACATACAGGCAAGTATTCTGTGGCTGATGTAATTCAGTCTGGAGTAATCAAAGCTCCATGCTTAAGGATAAACCTACATAATGGCAGTGCGTGATTGTATCCATGCCTGCGCTTAGTCACCCTTGCACTCACTGTAATGCATATATTTGCAATATCTAGTTCCAGTCTGCTGCTTTGGTTGAATCAAGTCATAACAGTTCAACGAGATGCAATTTTGGTCACTTGAAATATGCAAAGCAGCTTCTTTTTTTTTTTTTTAATTAAAAAAAAAGAAACATTTAAAACAACGGTCACTTCCTAAAAATAAACTAGGTTGTTTCGAGTGCTCAAAAAGAGTATAAGGATTTAAGGGACAATATAAAGATGAGATACTTTGTTACCCACGTGCAAAGCTACAGCTAAAGAACAATTTGAGAAAAACAAAAAGTTACTCCACAACGGTAAAAGCAAACCTTGAATACAACTGAAATTTCATCTTGCGCTACTGACAGAGAAGTCATGTATCTGAGAAAAGCCAATATATAACGGTTGAATAAAAAATTTGTTTGTTCAGCTAAAATTGCTGTATTTTTAGCCTGACTCCTGGCACAAACTAACTAATATAACTATTTAGGAAAAAAAAGTGCAAAAACAACTACAATGGGAAGTAAAAGTGGAATTTAACAGATTCTGGAACAAAATCTGTACTATAGCTGAAGTATCAAAGGACTAGCACCAAAAAGATACAGCCATATATCTTTTTATGCTTAGAAAGCCCACACTGTATAATGTAGCTGTACGGTTCATTAAGTATAGCATATTTTCTAGTAGCATTCATTTTAATTGCAAAATCTTTATCATGGATTTGATTACATCTTGTCCTCTCTCTTTTTTGGAAAGAATTGTATGTGTATTTCTATTCTCTATACATACTAAAAGGAAAGAACACCAAATGATGCTAAGTATCTGACATTACCAGAATACACTTGACATGGGAAATCACCTGCCACGTAAATGCTACACTGTCCGAGAGACAGCCTGGCAAGAATAATAACGATGATTTTAAGGCTGTGAATGTTTGCAGTTGTACTTGAGAGATTACTTACTTGAGCATTTTGGAAAGACACTTTTCATGATTGTTTGGAGAAGTTTACTGATTTTATTTAGAACGTTATCTCTTTACTGATAAAGACCTCTGGACAACATCTACTGAAATTAGCATATTTTTAAAAGAAGTCAGGCTCTTTTGAGAGTGAAAAGATAATTCTTGCCTTTTTGGGAAGTCAGGCTGCCCTGATATTAGGTTCCGTGGACTACAGAGGTCCATTGTTTTTTCAGAGCTAAATGGTTATAGGTTTGAAGTCGGAGTACGGCTAGACCCATAAAAAATTCACTACATTCCCCAATTTCCACTCCCACCATACCTCCTTAGTCGTGCCTCCTGAGTTTGCACCTGAAGAGATAGTTTCTTATTTATATTTCCTTTACCACAGAACACGGCAGAGAACTCTATTCTTCAGTTTATTGCTGAGATATGTGGCTCATCTTACATCCTTCAGTTCTTCAGCCATTACTGTGTTACACAATTATTAGACGCATTAAAGATACTGTTTAGTAATTTAAAAACCTTGTACTAAACTTACAATATTGATGTAATATATAGAGATGTATAGTCTATGATTAACTGTTGAGTGTCCTGTAATGAATCATTTGCTAATTTCACTTTAAAAATTAAAATTTCAGTACATTTACTAATCTCATGAAATTTTGAGCCACAGATGACTTTCTTCTAGACGAACAAGATCAAAAGGCATTTTAGTCATTGACGTTACCTTGATCAGCCACGTGAACTGTATAATCTTCACGTTTTCTTCATACTACATTGCATTTCATTTAGAATGTAATATTTGAACAATACTCTCACTATTTCTCTCTACAGAAAAGCTGGTAAGCAGCAGAGAAGATACAAAAGCTAAAATCACTATGTGGAGCTGTGAAACATTAAATAGTACCGAGAACAGTGAGGACCAGCATCTCTGCCATGACTTCCATCTTGTGCTTTCCATCTTTTCCCTTCTCTACCTCATTATATGTTTTCCAATCGGCCTTTGTTACAATGGCTTGCTGGTCCTAGTTAACCTCTATAACAAAACAACTATGACTATGCCAGATGTTTACTTTGTCAATATTGCCATTGCTGGTCTCATCATCAACGCTCTGGCACCCATGTACCTTCTAGGTCTTGCCAATACAAAATGGGCCATCTGGAATTCTAACAATGAAGTTTATATTACGTTACTTATTTTATTCAACGTTTCATCTTTAGTTACCATGTACTCTACTACATTGCTCAGTCTGGACTACTACATTGAACGTGCTCTACCTAGAACTTATATGTCAAGTGTGTACAACACGAAACATGTTTGTGGCTTCATATGGGGCGGAGCTATGCTAACGAGTTTCTCATCGCTTCTATTCTACGTCTGCAATCATGTATCCACTAAAATAATTGAATGTTCCAAGATGCAGAACAAAGAGGCAGCAGATGCCATTATGGTCTTTATCGGGTATGTTGTACCAGCTATTGCTGTACTGTATGCACTTGTATTAATTTTACGGATACGCAAAGAGGCTACACCACTGGATCAAGACACTGGACGACTAGATCCATCAGTGCACAGGCTTTTGATTGCCACAGTCTGTACACAGTTCACGTTATGGACACCCTACTACGTAACTCTTTTGGTGAGCACATTTACTAACGCACAAGGAAGACTAGTGGATGAGAATTACAGTCGAATATTACATTTTACCAAGATTTTATCAAAATTTTTGGCTTTCTCAAGCAGCTTTGTAATGCCTCTGCTCTACAGATACATTAACAAAAACTTTCCCAACAAATTACGACGCCTGCTTAAAAAAATACACTGTGGCAATAAGGGGTGTTCCCATGAACGCACAGTAGTACAGCAAGTTAGGACGTAGGTATGAAAAAATCTCTGGTGCTCAGTTACTACAGTCCTTAGAATACCAGTACTCAGGCTGTGATATTGCTGTGTTGGCACTCAAAATCATTTATGTGAGGGTCCCAACCAGGGAGCTAGAAGGAGCCTTCCGTTACAGTTAAATGAGACACAGTCTTAATTTCCAAATAGTTAAGTATTTGCAGAAATCTTGTAAGGCTCTGGCCTATGTGCTGTAATACCTGTGACATCTGATGTATTCAGTGCACTGAACTGGTTACACAGCATAAGTTCTGTCTTCGTAGTTCCAATTGCCTGAAGAAATAACTAAGCAGTTAATTGAAGTCTTGACTGAAGACACAGCACTTTGTATCTTGTATAGAAAAAGGAATTATCTTATTTTCTGTACAAAGAAATAACAGTGCTATCTTTGATGAAGTAAATAGCATTTTTCAATGAAGATGATCTAGGTGATCTTTAGTAAAGATCATATTACTCAGTTATGTAAGTCTAAATAGTAATACGTTAATTATAAATTACATTATTTAATTTCTTTCGCCGTCACTGAATCCCCTCTAAAAACTCCTAATTTACCATTTTCAGAAATTATATTCTCACACAAACTAACCTAAGATTTAACACCTATAGTAAATCAATTTTTTCTAGATCTAACAATTAACAATTTTTTTCTAGTGCTTTGTTTGCATCCTAAAACATTTCAACAATTCAGAAATATTTATTAATGAATTCTAAGGGAACTGAGAGATGTTTTCTCTGCACATTAAAATGAAGGACATAGTGGTTTACAAAGTTAAAATTTAACTAGTAAAGAATGTCTGGCTAAGTGTTATGGTCCACATATGTTCATGTAACAAGAGTAATTATCTTAAAAATAAATATGTTTATGATTAACATTTTGTATTTTCAAGGGATATGTTTGCAACAAATAAATAAACTTCTCTTTAATCTAGGGCATCACTGGAGGTTTGGAAACCATACAAAATCCTTCAATACGTACTAGATTTTAAAATGGGAGCAGTATGTATGAGTTCCAGTCAGCATCAGCTTTTTACTGACCTCTTAGAAATGGAGTGGAACCTCCCAGTGTGATTCTTGAATGCACAGCAGAAGTACAATTTTTATATTGCACAGAGGTGATAAAGAAACCCAGTACAGATGGCCAAATTTTACAGTTTGGAGAGTATTTGAAATATATGAGAAACAAACATGCCGCAGGTAAATTAGCAGTGGAAAGCTAGTTAACCCACAATCAAAAATTAGGAAATGTTAACCCAAAGAATTAGCTGTAACTGTTTTTGTATTATTAATGGCAGAGGGAACAGAAGTTAAACCCATATTCTCCCATTAGTTTCAGGCAGCATGACAGCTTTGGCACTAGCCTGGCTTTAATATGGCTTAGTTGTTTCATTGATTCATCTGTCACAACTCTTAAACTCCACATGACTTCATCAACAAGTGTGGCTTTTCAAGCTTCTGGTATAGATAAAACAAGGAGTAAAACAGAATTAAACCTTTTTCATTGCTCATACCACAGTGTTATCTGATAATTTGTCCTAACTTATCAGCATAGAGACATGCATAAACTTTAAGTGGGAAGCTAGTGAGGTCACAGCTTTCTCAAATCTTGCCCTTTTTCTTTAGCATTATTCTAGTCATTTCTACCCACAGCCATCTTTGCTTATCTTCTTCATATACAAACATCTCTAAGTCACCAAAATCCTCATGGAAGACTTTCCATTATACTTTTTGATCTTGATTTGTAATAGCATCTCATATATGATAGAAACTTTTTTTTTTAACTCTTAAAAACCTATAACATTAAATAATTTATTTCTTTGGTGGTTTTTCTGCATGAAAACTATCCAGCACAATTATATCAATTTACTTCATAGTTTTAGCCTGTTGATTAAAACCATGTCAAGGCAGGATGCCTTTAGCATTGTGTCTGATTCACGCTATGGTCTACGGTGCCTCTAAGCTGACATGATGCTGGCTTTTTTGGTTTTTGGTAAACGATTGTTTTTTTCTTTTCTTCCTCCCCACCCCAGATTAGCATTTTTCTACGAACTGCAAGCTAAACTCTAATTTTTAAGCATTCATG